GGGGATGGAGGGGGTAAAAGGATCTTTGATAGCAGACATTTTCTATAGCAAAACCGTCAAGGACGAAATGCTGCAGTAGCACCAAAAAAGCCTTTTGGTGAAAACAGTCACAGAACCATTTCTAAAATCTAAAAAAATGGCACTTCTAATTACAGAAGACCTAAAGCAAGCATAGATTTCAACCAGCGTTAATAAATCACTCCCCAGCCCAGCTGAGCCACATTTCCCACACAGTCACACCCAAACAAGCAACAGCTGTCAGGGCCCCCAAACAGGTTTATAACCTGTGAGCTTCTTTCCTCGTGAGTCCAGCCCACTTGAGTGAAACTCAGTCAATTTCAAAATTGCAAGTACTTGCGGAGGAAAGTTGTGCCCCCGCACCTGATGTCACTGGGCTTCGCAAAGGGGAAAAGAGAATCAGCCCAAGGTCAAGCCCAATGAGGCATGGGTCAGACTTGCCTCTACCCCCCATCCTTTTTACTCTACTCTGACACCAACCAGTGCTCTCTGGACCTCTGCCCTACTCAGTTGTCACAAAGCTCCTTGGGGCTGACAAAGGTCCAAAGGACCCGACTCTGTAAGCCAGTTTCCAGCCCGAGGCACTTGGTGGTCCTGTCTCGTAGTCTCTCTTGCTGCCACTTCACACAAGGAACCTGGACAAGCATGGCTCCTCCTCCCACTGGGGGTGGGATACCCGCTCTTCCTGCCTCAGTGATAGCCAGAGGAAGAACAAAACGAGCCGCTCCCCTCATTAGAGGCCTCTGGACCTCATTTGCATGCCCCCGCACCGCCCCAGTCATTTGGTGGGGGTTACAAAGCCTTACACCAAGTAATTTCACCTTCACAGCAGCTACAGCAGCTGTGTGACCTGCTGGATTTGAGAAAGCTGTGAAGGGGAAATCATCCTACCTCCAGTCCTCGCTCCTCCCGAGTCCGATCATCCACAGACGCAGAGATCACGCCCCAGCGGCAATCAATGTCAGACACGTGGCCTCGGTAGAAAGGAGATGCTGCACTCAGAGCCATCTGAAAACAAGCACAAGTCAGCACCGGCAGGTGCAAAGTGTCGCCCATAGGCTGGCTGACAGCTCCGTGCACAGGTAGGGTGCTGGCTAAAGTCATGGGGTTCATGCAGCCCACAGGATTGCACTACACCTGCCCCTGTCTAGGGACAGACAGGAGAAACTGAGCAGATGCTTTGTGTGGTTTGCTTCTTCCACACAGATCCTCTCCACAGTGTGCGGACTGGAGGGCAGGACAGGGCAGGCAGGAGAGCCCACTTCAAACGGGACATTTGATACATCCATATTGTTCTGGCAACATGGAGCTGGCCCAGGGCCCAGAATCTGTTAGTTCTTTTTCCATGACGATTCAACCAAGGTGAGCAGCAGAGCAACATTTTTAGCACGTGCAGGGTTCATTTTATACTAAAAGGTATTGGAAACACGATGTCATTCCTACTTACGACGATTGGACAGATTGTGGCCAACTGATCATAAAGGTATCTGGCTTCAGAGATGCTGCAGGCTTGGAAGGTCACCTGTTTTAAGAAGTGTTAGGTCACTAACGATGGCAATGATGACAAAACCATTAGCTCCCTCCCTCAGCTGTGAGGCCTGAGAAGGAAGATGGGAAAGGTGTTCACGGTGATTTTAATAAAGGTTAACCCAGGAGCCTCGTTCAAACGGTTGCGTGAACCTTAATAGAAAACGGAATTGAACCTGGTCCGCTATATCTAGGCAACTAATATGAACAGCCACTCCCATCCAAGCTAAGGGAGGTTAATAAGTCAGGCAGGAACACAAAGACACAAAGATACTTGGTGAAGCGTGGCCAGGTATTCATTCTCTTCTACCCGCTTCTTTCACTGCAGTTAGTTAAAGGGATCTTCAGATTTTAGTACAGAAAATCTGGGGATGCTATTGCTTCACTGTTGACAATGGGAGAATAGCTTGGAAGGGGGCAATACTAAAGACAGGGAAGAGGTGAGGAGGGAAAGGGAGCAGCAAAGGCACCTGCAGTCAAAGGGGCAGGTCGGTGCCCTGTGCACATAGCCAGTGAGAGGACGGCTGAAGTGTGGGCTTGCTGTTCTAGGACATTCAGGAAAACAAGGTTTGAGAGACAGTAACCATGATTTTGGGTGCTTACAAAACAAGGAAACAGGAAAAGAAGTCCCATACGAGTTTGGCTAGCCCAGGATAGGTGGCCAGAAGGAAAACCAGAGCTGGAAGATGTTTGACGAGTAGGTTCAGTACTGGTGTAATAGGTTATGGGCTGCTAACCTCAAGGTCAGCAGTCCCAACCCCCCAGCTGTTCTGAGGGAGAAAGATGAGGGGGCTTCTCTGCTCCTGTAAAGACTGACAGCCCCGGAAACCCACAGGGGCAGTTTACTCTGTCCCATAGGATTGCTATGAGCTGGAATCAACCCGGTGGCAGTGAGTGAGGCTCAGATGGTGTGCGGAAGCTGAGGTCTCCAACAAGAGAAACTATATCCCGTCAGAGTTAGGTGGAGCAAAAGATCACCCAAGTGACCAACACAAGTCCCCTAAACCAATCTCCCCCAAAACAAAAGACCCGACCCCTTGGGGAGCAAGAAGAGAGAACGTACAAATTAGGGTGTAAGTTAATAAGTTATAATATAAACTTGTAATCGGGAAGTTTTCATTTCTCCTGTTATCAATATTCGGTCATGACAGTTTGAAGTTAGTGTCTGCACAAGAAAAAGCTATTTTAAGAACTGAATACCCGCCGTTGCACGCTTACTGCATGTCACAATCCCCCTCTGTCGGTTGTCACACTTGTGAAAGTGGTCTAGGGAGGAAAAAAAGTGTCAGCCTCCATCCTTGTCTGCTGGGGATCAGGAAAGCTGGCGGTCAAGGGCTTAGCTGCTGTGCTGCCCAGGGTGAGAGCACTGCTGCTGTTGGTGCCATTGGGTTGGCTCCAACGCACAGTGGCCTTATTACCAGGGAAGGACACACGGCCGGGTCCAAGGTCATCCTCACAATGGTTATGTTTGAGCCACTGTGTCACACCATTTCACTGAGCGTTGTCTTCTTTTTGGACGACCTTCTATAGAGCACAATGTCCTTTTCCAGGGACTGGCTCCTACTGACAGTAAGTCCAATATACGTGAGATGAAATGTTATCATCCTTGCTTCTAAGGAGCATTTTGACCATACTTCTGGGGCAAATGTTTGTTCTTCTGGCGGTCCGTGACAGTTTTAATATTCTTCGCCCAAACTGCTGAAATGCATCAGTTCATCGTTGGTCTTCTGGAGGCCCTGTGCAGCTTTCACATACAACAAGGGGATCGAAAGTATCAAAGAATGGCTCAGGCACACCAAGTCCTCAAAGTGACATCTTTAAAGAGGTCTTTTGTAGCAGATTTGCCAAATGTGATACTAAAATGCTTTTTTAAAACTGTGAATCAGGTGAAGGTTAACAGAACAGGTCATCAGTTTCACCTTCACCAGTTCATACACATTTTGTTTCATTCCATTCACTGCAATCCCCTCAATGTTCCATCACTTATCCCACTTCCTCCCTGCGTTTCCCGTTGCCATGCCTCCTCTGCTCTCAGGTGAACGCTGCCCCTTCGATCTGAATTGGCTGATTGTTCTAAGGTGGGTGTGCTTTACTAGTGGTAGGTTCCCATCAGAGGCCTGCCTAATGGCAGGCTTGCTTTCTTGACTGCTGCTTCCATGGACTGATAGGTATCCAGGGAAAATGAAATCTTTGACAGCACCATGATTTTCTGCGTTGATGTTGTTTATTGATTCTGTTGTGAGGACTTTTGTTCTCCTTAGGTGTTACGCTGTAATTCACACTGAAGGCTTCTGTCTCTGATCTTCATCAGCAAGTGCTCTTCACTTTCCGTAAGCAAGGTGATACCACTGCAGGTTGCAGGTAGTTAAAGGAGACTTCCTCCAATCCTGATGTGTTCTTCTAAATACAGCCACACTTCTTGAATTAGTTGCTCAACATACCGACTGACAAACTGAGTAAGTATAGTGAAATGCCTTTAAACTACGCAGCAGCTCCTAGGTCTGCTCCAATAACTGGCTCTTGGTCTGCGCATAGGTTTCAAATGAGCACAAGTTAAGTGCTCTGGAATTCCCTTCCTTCACAGTCTCATGTTATGACACACACAGTGCAATGGCTTTGCATGGCTAATAAAACACAGGCAATCATGTTTTTCTGCTGTCAGCCAAGGCCCGTCTGACATCAGCATGGACAGCCATTATTCTACGTTCCCTTCTGACTCCTGCTTGATATGGATACATAACAGATACAAAGATTGCCAAGTCAAACAGAACATCACTACAGATCAGGGATGTGGGAGTGCTCGTTTAGCAGCTAAGCCACTAAGCTACAATTTCCCCCATAAATATTTAGGCTCAGAAGCCCTATGGAGCAGTTCTGCCCTGTCCTGTAGGGTTGCTATGAGTTAGGATTGGCTTGTTGGCAGTTTGAACACCTTAAGGAAGTAGGAACATATGCACAGTTTTAGCTCCACTTTAACACATCATACAAGAGAAGCAGTGTCACTTTTTTGGGAGAGGAGGGAAGAGGGCACAGGGGGAATACAACTTTTAGAAATCTGAATATCTAAACTTTTCATAGAAACCAGTTTTGAGGCCACACACGTTTCTTATGGGTGAAAATACCTATTGTAAAATGTCATGAATTAGCTTTACTCCTGAAAAGCCCCCAAAAGTCATCTATAGCAAACTAAACTCAGCGCCAGAGTCAATTCTGACTCATGATGAGCCTACAGAACAGGGTATAACTGCCCCTGTGCATTTCAGAGACTGAAATTGTTTATGGGACCATCAAGCCCCACTTTCCCCGAGAAGCAGCTGGTGTTTTAGAACTGCTGACCTCACAGTTACCAGCCCACCATGTAACCACTATTCTGTGAGGGTTCTTAGTCTACGAATGTGGTTAAAATGTTTCTTACTTTGTACTTAACGTCTTCCATCAACCCAATAAATTGACTTTATCAAAAATCTGTTTCCTGCTTTATTGATAAGCAGTGTCCAATGGTCCACCTGAGAGACACAGCAGGGACTTTTGTGGTGGCTGGCAGAATTCACCTCCTTTGCCCCCTTCTTTTCCCACGACCTGTGCCAAAGATGTTTTAAGACACGGAAACTGGGGTACACAAGGCATGCTGGTGAGAAAAGGAAAAATGAATTCTAAACCCAGGCAAAGTGTCAATTGCATGAGAAAATTGTATCTGCACATAATACATGTTTACACCCACCACATGTCACAAACGTGGTCTTCCAGGGGCATGGACGCCCTCCTGGAGCTCTCTCAGCGTAGCAGGCTGCTCCTGGCACAGCACTCGGCTTTAATATTAAACCGAGAGCAGGCCAGCGGTTCTCTGATGGCCCTGATAGCGATCAGAGTCACGCAATGTGACGTTCTCCAGCTACGGGCTGTCTTCAGAAACATTTGTATTTAAGACAGGAAAGCAGATATGCAGCTAAAAGTCAAATGTCTCTTGTTTTTACAAAGTGTGACTGTTGTAAGGACATTTACTCGATTATCATTGTTTGGAAGCCATGGATTTTATCCCATGAATGTTAAGTCACAAAAAGTGGGAAAAGACTTATTCACGGCAATGCTACTTTAACATACTCAGCCTTGACCCTGTCATTGATTTTTGACTGATCACGAGTCTAATGTCCATTTGGGCAATGTCCAATGACGGGAATGCTCCTGGTCCCATGAGGTTATAATTCCCACGGCTAGAGTCACTTCTGACCCATAGGGACCCACCCCTACATAGTTTCCAAGGCTATAAATCTTCACAGGGGCAGAGAGCCTCATTTTTCTCTAGTGGACCAGCTGGTGGGTTTGAACTACTGACCCTGTAATTACCTGACAGCACTCCCAGCACTCGTCATCAGAGGATGGGACGTAGCATTGAACATGTGTATCTTTGGTCTCTTGTATACAAAGGAACTGTGCTTCCAGCTATACAATGGCCTGTGCTGATGTTACTGGCTTATGTCTTGTCCTCTACTTTTGATCTATAAAGTTCGCCACAGGAACAGTTTATGCTTAACTCTCAGGCATCCAGTCTCGTGTATCACGTGACCCTTGAGCGTTAGAGCATTCTCTCTTCTAACTCTCCTTTGAAAATTTCACTGTGGAGTGCAGTGAATCCTGGCTCCCCAGTGCAGCAAACACACTGCTCGTAACAGCAGTAACAAGAGGGAAAGGACAGGTATCAATTTGGACATGAAGACAAAAGGGGTGGAAACCAGTGAATGCTGTTGCTTGGATTTTCACCCAACAATCATGGCGCACCTCAACAAGGAAAAACAGTGTTCCAGGCTGTTGTGGGCCTGGCTCCACTAAAGTGCCAAGGTTAATGAGAAGGTGAGAATATGAGCAAGTCAGATGCAGAGAAACTGCGGGAGATGTGATGGGCTGAGTGCCAAACACAAGGGTAACTCCCTCTCAACACTCGGAGGGGTCACTGCTGAAGCACAGAGCTAGTCCCGATGCGCAAGAGAAAGGAAAGACCCAATGATGATGCAGTGTTGGCCCAGCATGCCAATCACGCCACAGCCCTATTGGCTTTAGAAATAAATGGAACAAGGCATGTTTGCAGGAAGGTGTGCATGCTGAGGCCGGGAGCATGGGAACACTGGTGCTTCTGGAGAGATCAGGCTGGATCCGGATCCACAGGGGCCCTTCCTCTGGGCCACTCCAGACACGGTCAGCCTGGGTCATTGAAACAGAACAGACATCTCCTTGAGCAACAAGTTCTTTTTCCTTCCATCACCAAGTCTGTCTTGTTTTCAGGTTATCCATTTATTTACCCTCGCATGAACGTTTACCTAAAAAAAATTCCTACATTGTGTAACTCTTTCTACTCCTAACATGATTCTAATCAAGTTAAACAGTGAAAAGCAGTACTTCTGTTAGTAAGAGCAATGGGATAAATGTTGGCTAGGAATAGGACTTAGAGGGGATCTTAAAAATAAACTTTTAACGGATGAGAAACACGAGGCCCCAGGTGAGGGCGGCTGCCCACACACCCGAGTGGTAACTGAGGACAGAGGGCAGAAAGCAGGATGCCAGCTGTGCCCTGCCTGCTGGGCCTCTTATGCTCTCCTTCAGGCCTGCAGTGAACCAGGGTACAATCTCCGCCCGAGGCCAGCCTGCTCGGAGACATCACTAATTTAATCAGATCAAGGGAGATGCTAAGCATGCAAGTAGAAAAACAGCCATTCTACCTCCTGTGTAACTTAGCCAGGGAAAAGCAAACACTGGTGGTATTCATTTCTCTACAATCACTGGGTGTCCCTGCAGGAATGTACAAGTTTAAAGTCAAAAATCCTTCGGATCATGAGATCACTGGCGCGCACCCGTCAGCACCCGAGTCCAGGAGTGCTACCAGGTCTAAGTGGTGCTTATAACCTCAAAGCTGGACTGTCACTCAAACGCGCTGTCAACCAGTCCATTTGGACTCGCAGTGAAACCTCGAACCCTCACAGTGACCATTCACAAACACCCTCTGTGTTTCCGAGGCTGTCAATCTTGGAGAGTAGAGAGCCTCATCTTTCTCCCAGACCAGAGACTGTCACTAGGTGGCGGCAAACATCTGGCCTGCAGCAAACAGAACAGAGAAACCACCCAAGGCTGCACATTTTATGTTAACAAGGATAAACATTTCTGGAAGGTTCTGAGTTTGGAGACAGCTTCTAATGAATTTACTGAAGCACTTAGCTGGTTTTCGGAGGGCATTCCAGTCACCATGTTCACTGATTAAAATGCGACCTCTCAAAGGTAAACACATATACAATGAGCAGAAGCCGGCAAACAGAAACAAGGAGGGCACTCTGGCTCCCAGTGTGTTGGAAACCGTACCTGAAGGCAGCAATTGCCCATTCCAAATCCCATGGCATCCAGGTAAATGTGATCCGGCTTCGACGCCCTCGCTGCCTCCTCATCCTCAGGAAAGGCTTCTATGAATGGAGACGGCGTGTTCTTGTCCTTAAAGACTGTGTTATTCGAGGAGAAAAGACGGAATGAAGGGCATGGTTGGCAGTCTAGGGATCCACCCCTCACCAGCTCACTGCGGACTTACTTGGCACATTGATGACGACCTTCTCTCCTCTCCTATGGCGGATATTTCTTGTGAGGGTACTAAAACGGATACACAAATGTCATCAATTGGTCGCCTAACAGCCATCGTGTGAAAGGAACGTTTAATCACATACAAGGACTTGGAATGAAAATTACCTCAAAGTAATTTACCTTTAGAAAGAAAAATGTATTAAGCAAGATACTCTGGAGGGGGGGGTGTCATTTAAAAATAAAAGGTGTTCCATTAATACTACCTTCCTTAACCCTTGCTTGAGAGTTACCTATCTCTGCCCTGTCAAACCGTGCCAACTCAACGAAGTCCAGGGGTGCAGCCACTGCCACAGTCTGGCTGCACTCTCTGTTTCAGATGCTTCCCATGGTAACGCCAAAGATTTCCAGACTCACCTGTCACTATGCAGCCCCACTACTGGTGCCTCCCTCCCCACAACCGTTAGCCTGAATGCCTACCTTCCTCTACACCTGTGCTGCCAAGGTCAGATGCTACCAGCTGCAGTACGGCCAGTAAGCACCTGGCCTGTGACTGGTTAGTTCTACTTCAAACGTGCTCTAAGTGTGAAATACACACAACGACTTAAAAGCTTGATGTACGAATAAAGTTCCTTGTTACTAATTTAGAAATATTAATTACATGCTGAGACAACAATCTCTTGTACATACAAGGCTAAATAAAATACAAGAGGCTTCAAAAAGTTGTTGGAAAAATTCCATGATCTTTTCATTCCATTGCTCCACAATCTCTTTGAACCCCCCTCATATAATATTTCAGTTCCCTTGCCTTTTTCTGATGTGTTTACTAGAAAAATTTAAGTAACTCTTGTGGCTTGCATTATGTTTTAATTGGACAGCGTGACTCTGGACTTGGCTTACATGCCACTTCTCTCGCGAAGCCCCTCAGTGTCTTCTCAGGCCCGGCTTTCTCTGTATGAGGGGTCTCTGGCATTACAATCTTCTGATACCACCATGTATTTTTTCCAACAACTGACACTCATCATAATCTATCTTTTCTAAGCAACTGTTTATTTTAGTTTTCCCCTTACCATACTACATCACTTGAAGTTGGGAACTTTGTCTCTAGGCCTCTGTCCCCCCAAAGACTCTGCATATTGCAGGTGTGCATCAGTACTAAAGGCGTGCTCACAGAGATGGCCCATGGTCCCTAACCTAGGTCAGGAGCCTAAGTCTAGGATGGCAAGTGAGTACCCAACGTACAAAGCCGAGATCAGACTGGTTAAGCGGCTGAAACAATTTAAAGTTTAAGCATTCAGCTACAAGCCAATAGCCCTACTAGTTAAGGAAGGTAACGAGCATCCACTACATGTCCTACACATATTTACCTTATGACGAAGGTATGTGGAGTAGGATGCATATATTATAGATACAAATGGTGACTTAAAAATCCATTGCCATGGAATTTATTCTGACTCATATAGGGACCCTACGTAGGATTTCCAAGGCTGTGTAAATCCATGTGGGAGCAGACTCAGAGAAAAGAAAATAAGGCAGAGATAACGTAGGGAAAGCTTGCCTGGATAGATATATGCAGAACTCAGAGCAGAAAGAATTTTCTCCTTCAAGGGCAGGACAATGGCCAAGTTAATGGCTCTAAAATGACATGGAAAATGGCCAAGTGAACCCTGGGTGGAAGAAACAGTGACTAAGGAGACATGGGGCCCTGAGGGGTGCCTGTGCCTTCTCAGGCTCATTAGGAGCCAGGATGCAGTCAATGATCAACAAGGACCCCTGGACAGGAAAGCCACACACGCACCTGAGGCCACACTTACCTGAAGCGGGGGTGTTTGTTGATCGCTTCATCTGGAAAGAAGAGGGACTTGGAAGCTCCGCCTTCCACCGGGTTGGGTTTGTACTCGGGCAGCGTGAACCCAGGGCAGCCTAATCTACAACAAATTACAGAACTAAATAGATGGGATTTGCTTTCAGGAATTGAGCGTGCCCCACCATCACTGCACCTCATTTCTATCACTTCCCTTCTCGGGGGTCTAGCGCCCAAATGTAAATCCCAGTCCCCTTTGCTCCTCTGAGATCCTGCTCACCAACATCTCCTGGGGACTCCAGCCCTTTACTGACAGTTTCAGAAAGCGTCCGTCCCTCAGTATGGGCAGCAAACCCCTCCAGTGGCTAACAGCTTTCCAGCGGCCACAGCGGTTGTCTCCCAGGGCCGGTTTCCTTCCCCACAGCTTAAGAAGCCTCCATTACTCTCTAGATGCCTGGATGGTTGTGGACCTCTGTCCATGATCCCCACCTCCGCTGCCTGCGAGAGGCCGTAATAGAATTTATTACTGGTCTCTGTCAGACCAGTAAGTGTACTTTTTCCTATGAGTGAGTTTTGTTCCACTTTCCTCTCATTCTGTCCATGACCTTATCATGTGACCCTTTGCAGAGCAGTGGGGGTGGCAGCTGGGCCCCATCTAGTTCTTTTGGTCTCAGGGTCACGGAGATGGATGCTCACGTGCTCCACTAGTCACTGGACAATTGTTTCCAAGTGTCTTTGATTTTCTTCCCTCCCGACAGGAAGAGCCCCAAAAGTTGCACCACAAATAGAGCACAAGCGTTTAAGACTCCAGTTGCTACTTATCGAAGTTGGACCTAGAACACTGGGTTTGTGGGCAACGCCATGCCAATTGACCTTGGTGTCCCATGAGCAGATCACGATCTTGAACTCTTGGGCCCCATGACTCATTCTCTCGTCAGGAGACGCCTGACAATTCTCAGTTAAATGTACACCTACTATGAGCCAGCAATTCTAAAGGAACATTAACTAGGAGACTGACAAACTTAGAAACATGGGGATCCCCAGATGACCAGAATGAAACGAGAGTAGTTGCTTGACTTGGAAATGGGGTTGGCAACCTTCAGATTTCTACCAAACTGAAACCAAACTCGCCGCCACGGAGTCGATGCCGACACACAGGTTCCCTACAGGACAGGGCAGAACTGGCCCTGTGAGTTTTCGAGACTGGACTCTACAACAGTAGAAAGCTCCGTCTTTCTCCCATGGAGTAGGTGGTAGTGGTTTTGAACTGCTGACCTTGCACTTAGCGGTGCAACAAGTAACCACTATGCCACCGGGGCTCCTACAGAGTTGTTTTTTTCCAACAAGTGTTTTTCAGTAGAATGGTCTGCCATGATGGAAATGCTTATGTGCACTGGCTAATTCCAAAATGGGGGCCATTCGCCACATGTGGCTACTGAGTGCTCGAAACGGGGGCTGGTGTGACAAGGAAGTGAATTTGTAATTTTATGTAATTCTGATGAATTTAAATAGCCCAGAAGAGCATACAGTTTTAAGAGCGCAGAGTTTTTTGCATCTTTGCGGGGCGGGAGAGGCAAGGCCACTGTCCGTGCATTGACGAGCCCAGAGCACTCCCTTCCTGGATCCCACCCACAGTGCAGCCACACTCTGTTGTTACTATGATGTGGGCAGAGGCTTCTACAACGAATGACAAGTAGTTACTCTTATTCTGTCTGCAAGTCCAAGAGTACTGCTCCAGGCTACAGTTCATGGTTAAGCGTTTTTAAAACTTTAATCAGATTTAAAACTTATTTTCTTTCTCATCTCTCCCTTCACCATGTCTTCATGAAAACGAGCTAATGTTGACAGACCAGCTGTCCCCTAGGCAGCCTTTCTCAGTTACGCTAAGAGACACGCACAAATCCAGGTGCTGTTGAGCCGACTGTAATTCACGGTGAGGCCGCGCGTGTCCGAGAGGCACAGCGCTCCCCCAGGTTTTCAGTGGCTGGCTTTTCAGAAGTGCCGCCCCAGCCCGTTCTTCCACGGAAGGAGCCTGCAGGAGACATGCTGTCTGCTGCCACCAAAGTGGCCCCAGACTCATCTCAACCCAGCACAATGAGCAGTTCCGCATCAGACTGCAATGAAACAGGATTTTCTCACTGGCTGACTTTTTAAAACGTCAGGTCTTTTTTTCCCTTGTCCATCTAAGCCGGAAGCTCCACTGAAACCCGGTCAGTCAGTATCAGAGCAACACACAAGCTGGCTGTGCATGGAGACCCCGGTCTCCTGCAGGGAAGACAAGCGTTCTACTGCTGAAGCAACAATGCCTTTAAGAGAAACAACAGGCTTAACTAAAGACTTCCCTCTGTGGCCCACTGCCCGCTGACACTACACAGTCTTCAGTTTCGAATTCTAAGATAAAACAGTGCTGGCTACACCACATTTTAAAAAATATGCTAAGTAAAGTGTCTAACCCTGTAATATTAAGGGAAAAAATGTACCACTGAATTTCCTACTTCACTAAAAGGTCTCAAGTAATGCCTGCAGCCTCTTGGCCTTGGCTGTAATAGTCCATGGTTCCCCCCACAGTTACATACACCAACCACGCTTGCCATCTCCTCCCTGGCCAAGTTCCCGGACTCTGCCCCATACCTCTGGCCCACATCTACGTCTCTGTACCTCTGCTGCCCACCAGCCCTCCCAGTGGCAGCATCCTCCTGGTCTCCTAGTGGGTGCTGGCACCTGATCTAGTCACTCTCAACATACAAGGCTAGCAACTCATTCAGCGTTCCAATGGCTTCTTCCTACGGCCTTTAGGACAACAACCAGGATTCTAAGTGTGGCCTGGCCTACATGGCCCCACCTTCCACCGCGTTCCCAGCACCCGGTCACATCAGTCAGCTTGCCTTCCAGTTCCCAGCAGGCTCATCTCAGGACGTGTCCCCACTGCTGGCAGACACCGTCCCAACCTTCTTCCTGCAGCACCCCGGTGCCCTCGGTGAGCTTCTTTACTCTGCCTCTCTTCTACAGGCACTGACTCAGGGCACCGAGCAAGCCTTTGTCTCACCCCCCCCCCCCCACTGTGGAGGCCCACCCTCTCTGCTCTCTCACGACTGGCTGGTCCTGGTCTGGGGCAGTGTTTTGGGAATCTGAGTAGACGGCATAGCGTCAACGTTTCCCCCACCCCTCCTTCAGCCATGAACCCAACCTGCCCTCAAAACAAGCCTGTCTGCCCTCCCCCAACCGTTCATTTTCCCTTTGGGGGGGGGGGCCTGCACACACGCAAACAAGAACTCACAGAAGATAACAGCGCTCTACACGCTTGGTGACTGTACTGCAGTCTCACAAAACACGCACCCGAATCAGCGACGTTCGCATACAACACGTGTGGTGAGTGCGAGCGTACAAGAAAGTGCAGCACCAGGAAGCTGGGGGCGTGCTCTCTGCACCGAAGGACAGCAGCTTGGACAGGGCCTGAACTGTGTAGCTGTTACAGTGATGACTTAAGAAATAAAATCCCTCAAAGATCAGTGGTACGATTCTGAATACCCATGGTCATTAAAAACACCACGGGGGAAAGGTATACAGTCAAAAACAATAACAAAAACCAAATCAACCCAGAAAACAACAGCTCATGTGTGCCCAGCATGGACACCAAACCCTGAAACCCGTAAAGTTAAGCATACTTACCACACTGATCTGAGAGGCATCTCACATAGATAAACCACACTTGCTATTTGGTAGAACTATGTTCTTATGTCAGGACTCTATGTGCAATACCTATACTACTTGCATATTACACTTTGAGCTGAGAACATAACCCATGATGTTTGCTCTCGTGCAATTTCCATCGTCACTAGATTGAAAACATAATCCACAGCTTCTTTGCAGCACAGCATCCAAAAGACTCAACAATCCTTCGTGTTGATTAGCCAATGGTTTCAACAGTATGCGGGGAACACTTATGTCAGTCAGCTCTTCAGCGAGTGAGCCTCTGATGTGCCAAACCCCCAGTGGGACACGTTCCTTTGGAAAGCGTGAGGGGGCAGCCTTACCCCCCAGTGGCAAGAGCACATGAGGACTGTCAGATGCAGCTGCTCCCCAGGGTCGGGAATGCGTGCCAGACCCCAGGCTCCCACAGGAGCCCAGGAGAGTGCTCTCACCACCTTGCTCCAGGCTGCCACCACTCGCCCGTCTACTGGAGCTGGCATGGAATTTCTGCCTGCCAGTCATTTTTGCTGCTGCCAGCATAAGCCACAGAGAAAGGACGAACTGTGTGCCAAGTACAAAAATCACAGGCGGAAATACTTGGGCCACCATTTGTAACCCATGGCTCTGAGATGTCTGCTGGGCCCTTTTACTATAAGGGGCTAACCTGGGAAATGAAGTTATAGTGCAGAGAGCCTGATTTTCTTCTAACAGAGAAGTTGCCTCCTTCCGGCGTTTCCTCATGTTGTCCTCCACCGTGTTGAACTCTGACATGGTCCCACCGTACGGCTGTCCAGGGGTCCCCTCGATCATGTAACTCCCATACTCTGGTCTCCAAAGGGTCGGGTGGCTATAGAAGAGAAAAGTTCTGTTTCATTTGTTTCTTCTGCTACTATCTGTTCAAGTGAGTAAATGAGTTTTAAAAGTTGCTTAAAATACTCAGAAACCACTAGGTAAAAATGAACCTTTTGATTTACCATAGCTCTTCAACACCATCTGAGTTAGAAAGTACTGAGTCCACCCCATTCCCGAAACCACACTCACGACCATCTGGTCGGTGATGACTCATAGTGACCCTACAGGACATGGCAGAACTGCCCCTGTGGGTTTCTGTACATCCTGATGGGAGCAGAAAGCCTCATCGTTAACCCGTGGAGGGGCTGGTGGGCTTAAACTGCTGACCTTAGGGTTAGCAGCCCAACAAAGCAACCCACTGCACCACCAAGTCTCCTTCTGGGGCTAGCGTACTTCCACGTGATCGAAAATGCACAGCTTGGTGTGCCCTGTCTAAGACAAGCCAGTCTACTGTGCAGGTAAGGGAACGAGGCTGTAAGTGTTCTTTCAGTTCAAGGCCTGGGGTCCAAACTCCATCTGCGAGTGGCCAGATCTGGGGAAATGAACTGGCGAGTCCGTGCCCACTCTTCAAATGAAGAGGAAACATCTACAAAGGTGCCAGTGAAACCAAAGCCACGGGCGAGTTTTATCTGGCACCAGAGTTTTCAGTCTCCGTAACGATTTGGCTTCGTTGAGAAAAAATGCTCAACCGCAGCAAACAGGCTTTATATTGAGCCTACTTTTCAAAGTGCTTTAATACATTAATGTACTTAATACCAACCGCGTGACTACCCTTATTTTACGGAGGAGGACACGGAAGCCCAGTTTCCAGGGAGCTTGCCCAAGGTTACCCAGCTACAGAGAGGTGGAATCAAGATTTGTACCCAGGCAGCTTGAAATCACAGCTTGCACTCTTTAACAGCTCTACTATCTTGCTTCTTGTAATCTCAGAGAAGATTCTAGTTTAGTAAATCTAAGTTTCAGGATGCACGAAAACAACCGCCCGTGTTTTGGCTTACTTTGGGTTTGACCTTTCCCCTTTTTCTTGTAGGGTTTCAAGAACTTCCTCTCCAGACAGGACCAACTGGACTTTTTTATTCTCATGATCAAAAGAGACCAACATATATTCCACCTATTGAAAAAGAAAGGGGAGAGAGAGAGATTAACATCCTCCCAGACCTGTGCTCAGCGTGACCTTTAAAATAAAGGGACTGAAATGTGATGGTTGGAAAGGATCCAGGGGTGGGGAGCTTGAAGCAGCACCATTTGCTTACCCTTGCATGCGCAATAGCTTGTTTACATACTGTGAAAACCTGTAGACAGTTGTTAGTCAATAGTGGCATTGTTTGAGCGCTAGGAATCGTACTCAACAACATTCTACATAACAACCCAATTGCATACCACATTTTGAGCTAAGAACATAATCCCATGATGTTGGCTCTCACGTAATTTCCATCTTCACTAGACTGAAAACAACTCTACATCTTCTTTTCAGCATCCAAATAGGATCCAACAATCCATCGTGTTTATAAACAAATAGTTTCAATAGTACGTTGGGCACACTTACATGTCATTCAGCTCTTCAGAGTCGAGCCTCTGATGGGCCAGACCACCAGTGGGCACCACACCCACTGCCTCTGAGTTGATTCAATACTCATAGCAACCCTCGGGCACAGAGGAAAACTGGCTCTCAAATCTCCCACATGTAGTCACTGGTGGGTTCCAACACCCCCCTTTCAGTTAACAGTCGAGTACTTTAGCCCCTGTGGCACCAGGTCTCCTCATGCCACTTAAAGAGAAGTGTTTCACAGCATAGCTTGTCTAGCATTTCCAAAAGCAGTTCGCATTTTAAACTGACTCCACAAATGGCTCAGCCTGGGTGTAAGAAAGCAGTTATCCAGGCTCGGGGACCGAGTAGCCAGCTCCAACAGCTCTTGAATAACCCAGCAGCCGATCCCCCATCGAGTTCCATGACAATGAATCTCTCACACACACATACACACACACACACACACACACACACACACACGCACACGCACACACATACACACACGTGTGTTAGCTGAGCTGTTACCAGTTCAGTTTCAGTCCCCCCACCCCAACTCCAGACACACATGAAAACGTTGCCCCAGTTCTGCATCAACTCCACAACTGGTTGAGGAGCAGGGTTAGGAGCCAAAGGGCTCTCTTTCACTGGCTGATGTTCAAGCGCTTGGCAGGCCTTTCTTCCTAGCCTGGCTTAAGCCTAGAAGCTCCACTGAAGCCTGTCGGCGTCCTAACCCCTCGAAAGCCTCCCCAGATGGTGGGTGGTGGGCAGATGGTGGGGGTGGGCGCCGGCTGGAATGACACCAGGGTCTCCCGCACGGAAGCTGGAATTCTGTCACGGAACCACCAGCGTACCCTAACTGACGAGTCTGAGGTAACGAATGAAGATCATTAATCACTATTCGTGACCGAAGTAAAAGGCACATGTGACAATGATAAGGAATGGAATCCGATCTCCACGGGCAACTTGAAACAGCAACATGTGCTTCCACAATAATAATTTCTCTGCAGACAACACTGGGTAGAACCCTCTGCACAAGCTACCAAGGCAGATGCTATGGCCAAGTGGTGGCAAACTGCAGGCTCACTGATGTATTTGGTTTGCTCTGTATCCATATGAAAAGAAAAAGAAAAGGGGGGGGGGGTGGTGGCAAGCAACAGTGTCCCCACTCTCTCTGACACTCCACATGTAAATCCAGATGCCTATCTGTAAGAACACACAAACAGACATCCTGCAGCCAGCCAGCACAAGCCCAGGTCCAGTGGGGCGGAGGAAGGCCACTCTTGCTGGAGGGCATGGGTACTCTTGGCCTACTGTGGCCACCATTCAGCCCAGATCTGCACGGCTGCTGGCACTTTGGTGTGCTTGCATGTCCCTGCCTGGCTGCGGAAGGCATTTGGGCCAGCCATCCCATCACAGACACCATACTGTTCCAGAGACCACCCCATCCTTCAGCCAAGACACAGGATTACAAAGGGAGAACGGAGCAATACTAACTGGAGTTGCTGAGCAGGGGAAATGCAGCAACCCAACAAAGCAAACTCCCAATGAACTGCTCTCAGAGTCTCAGTTCCCCGTCCTGCTTCTTGGTTCGTTTTTCAGTTCCAGAAAAGGTTAAGGCTGCTGGGTTCCATCACATAAACCAGAAACGTGAGATTTGCAGCTGTGCAAACAATCACTCAAGTGTCAAGTGATCAGAACCCAGACTCTGGAGCTGCTCCCCACCTCAGTACTGGCTGTGGGGCAGCATCTCTAGACTCACGACTCTTGAAAACGGCTAGAGCCTGAGAGAACACAAAACTTCGTTAGGCCGGGGACCTAGATAAAGAGAAGAATGGCTGTAAGTAAATAACACGGCAGAAATTTATCCTTTAAATGGGCATAGGTATGTCATGTACTTTTTACTGATGGCTCCTCATTCCCAAGCCCAATGTGCAAAGTACATCTGATTCCTCCCCGACCCCCACACACTTTCTAGATGGGCAAAGAAGCTGAGTATGCTGCCCACAGATCAGTGTGATGACACAGGCCCAGAACACCTGAGGGGTCTGTAGGTAAGGAGCTACAAAACATGGCAGTCTTTGAAGTGATGATCAGCTACAAGAGGCAAAGAAAGGCCATGTCATGCTGGCTGCAAACCTCTCCCATGGATCATGCCCCAGTTTCATGGCACGGACTGGCACTGTGTTGTAGGAAAGGTGAGTTACAGATTGGAGCAATGAACCAGCCCCCGTCTTGGACAACAATGCTGCAGGAAGCATTCCTAGATCTCCTAGCTAGACTGACCCTTCTTCCTTCACTCACAGGGCCCAGCGAGGTGTCTATTCCTGCCACATTACAAGCTTCCTGGAAGAAGAAAAGATGCTTCCTGCTTACCCAGCTCCCATCATGCACCTA